CTTACATATGCAAATTAACCGCCATTTTGTTGGCAGTTAACTGTCAATCTTAGTTGGCAGTTAACTGTCAATCTTAGTTGGCAGTTAACTGCCAATCTTAGTTGGCAGTTAACTGCCAATCTTAGTTGGCAGTTAATTTGCATATAGCCCTGATTAGCCAATGAAAAGGGTAGTGTCGTACGCCAATTACCATTTTTCTCTTTTATTAGTGTAGATATATAGAGAGAGATGTGCCTTTGAGAGTTTTCCTGTTCTATTTCATTTGGTGATTTGCCTATTCTCCATAGCTGATTAGAGGCTTTATAGCTATATCATTGCCTTTACCTTGTATTATTCTTACTCAATTTATAATAAAAAATTAACTGTCTAACTTGATCACATAAAAAAGAAAAATTGTTCATTTAAAGTCTTCTCAGATTGCTTTATATAATGCCTTGTATAATATTTTTTTTATTTTAATTTCAGTTCCATAGTAATTTCACACCATGGTGCAGTACAGAATTTCAGGTAAGCTTTTAACATTGTGCTTAAATCTGAATCAATGAGAATAACTATATTATTACTGATTATTCCTAAACTTCATAAATCCAGTTGTATCTTAAATAAGAAGAACAATATATACATTCTTAAAAGAATAAAGGAAAATATCTACTTGTTGAAATATCAGATCATAGTTATACTTTATTGGGAAAGTGAAATGATAGTTAAGATATATGTTAGCCCTGGCCTGGTAGGTCAGTTGTTTAGAGCATTATCCTGATATAGTAGGTTCCATCCCTAATAAGTACACATACAAGAATCAACCAATGAATGCATAAATAAGTGGAGCAACAAATCGATGTTCTTCTCTCTCCTTCCCTATCCCCCTCCCTCCCTCCTTCTCTCTCCCTTCCTTTCTCTCTAAGCTAAAAAAAATTTTTAAACCATATGTTAAATTTGGTTTAGTTTTATATAAGACTTTAAGAGATCTTACCAATTAAAGAAAAGTACTTACTTTATTCTGTAAAATATTTTGAAATAACTGACTAGAAGTTTGAAATAATAAACCCTTGCTTTACTATAAACAGTAAAAAAAAAAAAAAAGAAAAAGAAAAAAGGACGTACAGACAAATTGATTAGACGGGATCAAAACAGACTGAGAAAAACATTTGTGGGACTGTTGTTTTTATTTTTGGGGAGTGTGTTGGGGGGACTGTTTTAAAAAAAGAGCAAATTAAGACCTGCATAAATAAAAGACAGAAAAAAACCCCAAAATATTCACAAGAGGAAATGTAGGTGGTAAATATATTACTGCTAAAGTCATTGCACATTTAAATAACTACAGAATTCTTTTTGGGCTTTTAAATGGGATCTTTTAAAAGTTAAGACAAAAATACCCAACGCAGGCAAGGGTATGGCACATTCATAAGTCCTGGTGGTGGTTAATTTTGTGTAGCTACCAGGCACTTATAAAACATAAGTTTGTTTAAGAACTTCACACATTAGGTGACCTTGTCCCCATCTTCCAGATGAGGAAGCTGCAGATCAGAGAAGTTATGAGCCTGCCTGTGGTCACGGAGCTGGTCATTGGCAGTGTGTAAACCCTGGCCTCTCGTGACAAGGCCATGCTCTATCTGCCATGCCTCACCACTCCTCAGAATGGTACAGTTGTTTTAGAAAGTACTTTGACAATCTATAAAAATGCTCATAGCCTTTACATAAATAATTCTTTTTGTTTATCTGCTGAGGAGATAATTCAGTGTATGGTAAAGGCTGCATGCCCCAAAATATCGATCTCAATGAGATAATATTGAAAATTCATCATCAACCTCAGTTGTCAAAAAAAAGTTAATTAATTATGACATACATACTCACATTTTGTAACTGTTAAAAATGCAGCAACACGGGAAACGTGTATGGTTTTCATTTATTATGTGAAGTTACATGTGTTCTGTAGCTACAGCTAGGCAATTCATTGTATATGAAAAGTGTAAGATGTAATAGTTATGATCTAGTAATGAATGATCTAGTGGTGAATGATGATATTTTTTTCTTTCTGTAATTAAAAAATTAAGTATCTGTGTTCATTTAGGTCTTGGAATGAGAATTAAAGTAACTATGGAACAAAGGCAGAATGCGAATGTGTTTCTATATATGATGACAACCATAGTACTTAAAAGCAAACAGCAGCTTTTTAAAGTTAATTTTTATTGAAGTATAATATATACAAATAAAAGTACCCAGATCATAAGAATACAGCTCAATGAATTTTCACAATTACCAATACCACTCAGAACAAGAAAAAAAAAAAAACACATTTCCCCGTCTCCAGAAACCCCCCTGTGTCCCATCCTGGTGGCCCCCCACCCCTGCATCTGAGGATAGATTTTAAATGGCACTGAAGTCCACGAAAATGTTAACAAATCCTGTGTTTTCCTGGTTAGAACCACGAGTGACCTTTGTTTTCTGTTTTTCTCTGTTTTTTAATCTTCCTACTTCGTGATTATGAATTATACTGTATGTTACTCTAAATTTCATTTATGACCTAATGTCCAACTATTAAGTCATGAATTGGTCCTTGCATTTAGTCACATAGAATTCCCCCTTTTGAAATGGCCTTTGCTATTTGAATTTAGGAATAGGGCCATCGCCTTTGTTCCTTCTGTAATAGAATAAGAAATAGGGGTTATAGATCGGAAGTAATTCTCCCATCTGTGTTACAAATCTCTTCTGTTACAGGGCAGCCCTTGGGTACTAACTGTAAATCTGTGTATTAGGACTCTTCCTTTTGAGGCTTAAAATTTAAGCGAAGGTAAAAGCAAACATTGTCTTCTGTTCTTCTTTCCCTGCCACCCGGTCCCCGCTTCACTGTTCCCCTTCTCCATCCAAAGGGAGCTGGCCTGTGCCTTCACCAGAGTGAGGCCACGCTGCTGGCTTTGTCACAGCACAGCAAGAAAAGCAACAAAACCGGTAGAACAATGGAGGAAACCTAGACACCTCACCCGTTTCTACCACAGGGGTTCACGTGCCGGCCGTGCTGTTAGGATGACATTAAGCCTTGGTGCTGTCACCTCATAAAGAGGCTGTTCCTTTGTGTCTCCGCTGTGGAGAAGCAGAAAGAAGCCGATGAGACGGGCTCACTCACAGAGAGGAGGTTTACTTCTCTCCCTACTCTAAAGCCAGCCGGAGGTTTGCGGGGCTAGGCAAATCTGTTTTCGTCATCTAAAATAGTTATTCTGTCCAGTGCTTGAGATTCAGAATAGGTATTGCCTCACACTGGGGAACCAGAGAACAGCCCCTGACAGCAGGCACGGTTATTGGCAGGAGGAGAAATTAAAAGGACAAGTTGGAGATTTCCAGTGGAATTGTAAGGGCACAGTATTTTCAATGGCAGCAATTCCACTTCCAGGAGTTTATCCCACAGACACACTTATTCTTATGCCCAGTGACACAGAGCAGGAACATCACTGCAACATGGTTCCCGGTAGTAAAAGAAGGACACAACCTAACGCCTGCAGGAGGGAGTCTGGGTGTTACTGTACATCAAGCATGTCAAACTCAAAGGCCAACACGGGCCAGATAAGCAAGGTTTAAGTTTATGTGGGCCCCAAAAAAACAAAAGCTTCAATTTTCATAGAAACCTAGTTTATTTTGATAGAGACATGCTGAATACAAAGGGCTGAAATAGAACATTTTAATAAAAATTAATATTTTTTCTTGAACATTAACTTACCAGACACTGAATAACTGCACAAACTAATAACCATAACACAAATAAACCTATTTTTCTTGTTCTCGAAAAGTGAAATATTTCCTGTTGTGTACACCAAACAAGTCAGTCCAAGACTAACGATTTGGCCGGCAGCTAAAATATTTGCTGGTAGTATTAGTGGAGAGAAATGGTGCACCTGCATGTAAGGCATGTAAGGAAAATGAATGCAACATGATTACAGTAATCAGTCATTAGCGAACGTTGTAGTTCATTATTAATAACTAGAGAACCGGTGCACAAAATTAGTGCATGGGTAGGACCCATAGGCCTGGTCAGTGACCAGGGCCAATTGGGGCCTTCCTTTGTTCCATGCTGCCCCCTGGTGATCAGCACACATCATAGCAAGTGATTGGTCTCCCGGTCAAACTCCCACAGGGACAGTTTGCATATTAGGTTTTTATATAGAGAGATTATGTATAACAGGATATAGTAAAAATTAAATTATGAAATTTTTATTGAAACATTCCTTACATACCGTTATATTGACTGGGCCACAAAAATATTCGTTGCAGGCTGCGAGTTTGACATGCTTGCTGTGCATCCATGCATTAGAATAGCATACAACCTCAAGAAAATGACACTGTTGGTTATCTTGGAGGAAGGACACATATTTTTCATTGTTTATATAGTTTGAGATTCTTATAATGTGTAACTCTTAAAAGTATATATAAAATGTATATTTTATACATTTATAAAATGTATATTTTTTAAAAATGTTAAGTTATCTTGAGTGACTGGCAAAACAGAACTAACTCAGAGTGGGGGATGGTATTTATACATTTATACAGGTAGAGAGTAGAGAACTTAGAAAATTTCTTTGTAAAATTACAAGTCTTTCAAAACAAAAGTTGGATTAGAAATCTAAAATGAATATTTCAGAGAATGTTAAATTTCTTGGGTCCGATAATGGTGTGGTTATGTAGGGAGATACACACTGAAACATTTAGGTATGAAGTGTCAGTGTTTACAACTTACTCTCAGAATGTTCAGCAACAAGTGTGTGAGTGTGCCCGCACGTTGACAGAGAGAAAAAGGAAAGTGGCAAAACGTTAACAACTGTTGAATCCCGGAGAAGGATGTGTGAGGTTTGTTTTGCTAGTCTCTTAAGGTTTCTATAAAGTTGACATTTTTTCAAAATTGAAAGTTGGGGAAAAAGAAAAGATTTTTTAAAACCAAAGAGCTTCTGAAAAGCAAAGCAATGACAGGACACTTATGAAAGAAATCAGTTACAAAAGTCAGTCTTTATCTCTCCGTGTCTTTAGCTAGCCAACTAAGCAGAAATGGCTTCTGCAGCTGCAGTCGTTGGAGGCTTAAGCTCAGAACATTTTCTGCAGGATGCCGGCTAGCTGGGCTACTTCAGAACCTGGAAGTACAGAGAGTAACCTTTCCTTTAAGAGATGCATGTAAGAAGGGACCTCTTTCTCTTCTCTTTCCTCTCCAGTTCCGAGAGAAACCCGTGCAGTAGTTCATTGCTGCATGACAGCAGGAGACCGGTCAGCCTGATTGGCCAGGAGGTGATTCTCGCCTTCTTTCTCCTGCTCTTGTTGGTCTGGTTCCTGAATCGAGAATTCGAAGTCAGCTACCGCCTTCACTACCACGGGGACGTGGAGGCGGACCTTCACCGCACCAAGATCCAGAGCATGAGGGACCAGGCAGACTGGCTGCTGAGGAACATCATCCCCTACCATGTGGCTGAGCAGCTGAAGGTTTCCCAGACCTACTCCAAGAACCACGACAACGGGGGAGTCATCTTTGCCAGCATCGTCAACTTCAGCGAGTTCTACGAGGAGAACTACGAGGGAGGCAAGGAGTGCTACCGGGTCCTCAACGAGCTGATCGGGGACTTTGACGAACTCCTGAGCAAGCCGGACTACAGCAGCATTGAGAAGATTAAGACCATTGGGGCCACGTACATGGCCGCCTCGGGGCTGAATGCCACACAGTGCCAGGATGGCAGCCACCCGCAGGAACACCTGCAGATTCTGTTCGAGTTCGCCAAGGAGATGATGCGCGTGGTGGATGACTTCAACAACAACATGCTGTGGTTCAACTTTAAGCTCCGCGTCGGCTTCAACCACGGACCCCTGACAGCGGGGGTCATCGGCACGACCAAGCTGCTGTACGACATCTGGGGAGACACCGTCAACATCGCCAGCAGGATGGACACCACGGGAGTGGAGTGCCGCATCCAGGTGAGTGAAGAAAGCTACCGCGTCCTCAGCAAGATGGGCTACGACTTTGACTACAGGGGCACGGTGAATGTCAAGGGCAAAGGTCAGATGAAGACCTACCTTTACCCAAAGTGCACAGACAATGGGGTCGTGCCTCAGCACCAGCTGTCCATCTCCCCAGACATCCGAGTCCAGGTGGATGGCAGCATCGGGCGGTCTCCCACCGATGAGATTGCCAACCTGGTGCCTTCTGTACAGAACTTGGACAAGCCATCTCTGGGTCCCGAGAATAACACACAGGCCAAGGACCCTCACCTGTCTTCTAAGAGACCCTGGAAAGAGCCTGTCAAAGCTGAAGAAAGGTGTCGATTTGGCAAAGCCATAGAAAAAAGTGACTGTGAAGACACGGGGATGGAAGAAGCCAATGAACTCACCAAGCTCAACGTCTCCAAGAGTGTGTGACGCAGCACCTGACCGCTGCCCACGGTGCTCTGTTCCTCGAAACACAATAATATTTGTATTTGGCTGTTGCGCGCTCCAAGCGCCACAGTTCCCATCCCCAGGCGTGGCGTCGCGTGGTCATCACAGCCCTAACTTCTGTGTAGATCACAGTTATTCAGGGTTCATTTCCATCCATTTCGCTCCTTTTCTCCCCCGGAACGCCCTCCCCTTGGTGTAACCGTCCAGCAGCGTGGAGAACAAGTGCCTTCAGGAGCTGGCTGTGGCTTCAGAGTCGAGGGACAGAGACCACAGGGTAGAGGTCATGGCATTGGGTATTGTTGGACTTTTAAGACAAAAGCTGTGGTTAAGATACCGTTTTTATTGCTTTTTCTCACGAGACACTTTTCTTTGCTAATGCCCTGTTTTTGAGGCTTGTTTTTTTCTATATACTGAATAGTGTTTTCCAGTGACCTGCCCCTTCTCTGTAAATACACACACGCACACACACTTGCATTTACGAATCTGAGCTCAAGTGCCAGTCACTCACCGAGGGGAGGTCAAGGAGGGTGGTGTGGGCTGAGAGCAGTGGTCAGCCGGGCGGCCCGGCGCCCTCCCTCCCTGCGCCTTCCCAAGCGTCCGGTCCTTGTGGGCTGTGGGCACCCCGCTCCCTGTACCGCCGCACACAGGCCAGGGCTCCAAATGCTAGCCCGGAACTAAGCTGGGGAAGCCAGGCCTCAGGAATTTACAAGCTGTTTTCGTCCTGCCTTCGTGCGGTGCCGAGGGGTCTTCCAGCTGGGAGTACAGGGGTTTGTCCTTGAGGCTGACTCGTCTGAGAGGAAAATGAAAATAAATGCCTGAGGGTTGCATTTATTTATTTATTTATTTATCAGGAAATGTGTTTTCAGGGAGGGGATGCCAGGCCATTCTGCTGAAGGCACACAGCGGAGGGTGAGACGCTGTCTGTTAGTGCTTTCGCCTCTTTGGCCACCTGCCCTGCAAAGGGGCCAGGCAGGACCCAGGGGCATGGCCCGCGCTCAGGTCAGAGCAGCTCTCCGTCCCCACGTTTTACACCGAGTGCTGCTCCTTCTGCCCTGCGTGACGCGGGGCAGGTAGGAACCGGCGGGGTATGAAGCCCGGAGTCTGGGCTGAGCGCGGGGGCAGCAGGCAGTGCGGGCACTGTCTTGGCCTTCACCCATTCAAGAAGTTTCTCTATCCTTCCCACTGCCAGCCTGCGCTGGGCCTGTTTGGGGCAGGACTGGGCCTGGTGAATGAAGGCCAGCCCTCTCCAGATGGAGGTCTTGCCCTGTATATTGGGGCAGAATCGTCTGGACGCAAATGGGGTGTTAATCCAGGACAGTATAGAAGACAATTCTGTGCCCTTTGTTGCCAGTCCTCCTTGTAATTACATTTTGCCACATGAAGTCTGAACTTGATGTAGAACTGAACTCGGCTACAGTTGCCTTGTCATAGTCATAGTTATTGTTAAGGTGACACTGGCACACAGCTCCTGGGATCATTTGAGAACTAGCTCCTTCTCTGTTTAAGGTCTTCACCGACATGCCCTGTGCATTTGCTTTTCACCGGTAAATCTGTGTGTAATTTCACAGCTGCGTTAAGTTATCACTCCTCCTCCCCAAATTTGTACAGAATCTGCCATTTCCAGCATCATGACATATTGATTCTGATCAGCCATCTCCCCAGGGGACAGCCACCCGGCTGTTCAGCCATAGCCAGGACCACGCCATCCTGGGGAACTGAGCATGCTCAGTAACTACGATCTTCCTTCAGGTTTCACTGTCACTTTGTTGTTCTTCCAGTGCCGGAGAAAGGATGGTTGTGACAATACCTCTTGCTTCTAAAGAATGTATTCTTATAAAATATTGCAGAATTTTTATTTTTATTCTTATTTAAAAAAAAAACACTACCTAATGCTCTCCTTGTCTGTAAGGATTGTGGGCGTGTTCGGGGTTTCTTCCATCCGTATTCAGGCGTGTGTGTGAGTGCGGCTCTGTTCCTTGGCCTGCTCACTCAGGCTCTGGAGCTGTGGCGGCACCTAAGGGGCTGGGCAGTTGCCTACTTGTTACCAGTGTCTCTGTTGTTGCGCCCAAAACGTACTCTGCAAAGTTCATCTCTGCACCCACTTCCTTCCTATCAAACTCTTTTTCCCCTTCCCCACCTGCAAAGGTGTTGATGATTCCTGGCCCTGGGAATCCGAGAGGCTGCAAACCGCCGAGAGAGAGTCAGACCACATGGTGGTCTGGTTCAGCATTGTGCAAACCGGAGCCTGTGATGGACAGCTCACCCTGAGCCTTCCTAAACAGCCAGTCCAGATGTGCTCTCTAGTCCTTCCCAGTTCCCTGCTCTGAAGCATACCTCATCACGGAGCCACAGAATCCCTGCAGCGGAACTGCTGTGTGTCCCACTGAGTCGGCATTGAACAGATAGTTGCTGAAGACAGATGGGTTTCCCAGCAGGAGGTTCAAGCACTCCCGGCACGAGGATGCATTCTTCAGAGTGGCAATACCTCTCCTGAACTTAGGGCAGGAAGCAATACTTCAGAAATGAATGTGTGTAAATAGTTGCTTTGAGTTGCAATTGCTATTTTCTTCTTGGCCCCAGGTCAGATCAAATTATATATATGTACAAACAAGCACATAATTTTATCCAATGCAAACAAATGTAGAGCATCAGTTATTAAACCCTTAAGTAGCTTGAAGAGTCGCACAGATTATGCAACACCTGCACACGACTCCGTTAACACTGACTTCGCTTGTGGAGGCACCTGCACATTTGCACATGACACAGAGAGCCAAGGGCCACGTGCTCCCGTGACATGGTCTGTAATAATCTGTAGTTTCCAAAGATCGGTCTGCGTTTGCATTTCTAAATTTTTGAGGTAAACATTTTTTTGGTTGGTGGTTTCAGAAAATCACATGCCTGGAATCTGAAATTAAATTAGCAAGGACCAACTGTTTGCATTTTCCACCTTTCCTTTGCTTTATTCTTGGTAAATTGTTAATTTTAATAATTTCAAAATGCATCCACTAAAGAAATGGACATTAAAATATTCTAAAATCTAAATATTTGATGCCTGGTATTCTCATTGGAAAGGTCAGTACCACTTCAGAGATTGGGGCACCCCTTGTCTCCTGCAATTTGTGGCTTGAAATAGGAAGATTTGCTTTTCTTTTGCATCATGACTTTGAAAACAGGGCAACTAAAAAAAATCCCTGTGTGTCCTGTGGGGTTTTTTTATGGACATATTTGCTACAGTTACCTTTGGTTGAGAAGTATTTATTTTTACATGGAACTTTAAACACACACAGAGAGAGAGAGAGAGAGAGAGAGAGAGAGAGAGAGAGAGAGAGAGAGAGAGAAAAGCAGGTTGTAGAACTAATTTCGCTTGTGATGACAACCCCATTTTATTGGGCCTTCTAATAGTGTTTTCCTGCATTATCTTAAGAGAAGGGATTGACTAGGAAAGGACAGTAACCTCTCCCTTGCAGAGTTCCTGGGGGTGCCCGTACCACAGGGAAGTCACAAAACCACTTCAGAATCTGAAGTCCCAGAGACTTTCCCCAGAAAAACACACATGCCATTTATACAGCTCAGGGGTTCACGACACCTCCAACTCTGGAGCCAAACAGAACCTGCTGGGGTTGAGACTCTTGTCGACTCAGTAAGAGGAGATGGAGATGTGGGCCTGTCCGTCCTTGCGCATCAGCTTGCAGGGGTCAAGCTTCTAGGTGAGTCTCTGCTGGAACCTGGTTTCAGTGAGGACACTACTCCTTGATGATGACACTCTTTCCCCCTGAAGCTGCTGCAGGCTTCCCACGGAGCCTTTCAGAGCTTAGGGAGCCACGGTCTTCGCTGCCAGAAGGTCTAGAACATGGGTCTCTTCCACAAGAAAGAGCATCCAGGAACGTAAAGGATTTCTCACACAGTCCAAAAAGACAGCCTCTAATGTTTGCAGTGCGTCTCAAAACTTAGCCTTTGTAATTTGTCTTGTATTTAAAAGTTCTTCACACGTGGTTCTGTTGTGGGAATCCGTCATTGTGGCCACCTGGGATAAGTCCCAAGTTCCAGGAAAAGGAAGCTAACTGGGGAGAGAGATAAATGAGAGGAAGTGATTAAGAAAAAGTATGCACTTGCACACCATATACATGTAAATTTAAAATCTCCCCAAGTGTCTATTTTTATACAGTTCCTTTGCAAAAAAAAAAAAAGTTTTTTTTTAATAACATGACTTCAAAGAATTGTTACTGTTATTAGAGTAATTTAAGCTTGGGGAATTCTCATATTCCTGGTGGGCCTGAAAGTCGGAAGGAGAAGTGAATTAAGCAATCATCTATTGAGCAATCTGAGTGCCTCCTGAAATCTGTCATCAACAGCATCTATTCTTAACCTTTTCTCTGGCTCACAAAGCCTTTGATAATTTGATGAAGGTTGTGGCTCCTTTCTCCAGAAAACGCACATAAAAATAAGCTCTCTTAATGTTGCATAGAATTTCAGGAGTTCCTGGAAATAAATAAAATACTCCTGATTTGAAATAACTAGAGGAATGATGGTGTTTAATTCTAGCTATCTGCAAATCCGGTTTCTCGGCACTTATGGGCTTTCCATTGGGAACTTGATTAAAAGTGTTAATGCTGCTTATTTATATATGCGTTTCCAATCAAAACTGTATTTTACCTTTTATGTCTGAGTTACCTAAATATATTTGAAGAGCTACTCAAAGAGCTTTTCAATATATAAACATAAAGTTAGTCAAATACTTTCCAACAGTTAAGTAACATCCAGCCAGTATTTACTGACAACCTACTGTGTGCCCTATAATACCAAAGCTCCCTTTATTTAGGTTGTTCAACTTGCTGCAGTACTTGAGAATATTTGAGTAGTAACAGCTGTGATTAGAAACTGTGCTTTTCATGATGGCTCTACCACTATGAATTCCACCAGTAAACTGAAGAGAAGTCCCGACACCTGGGGTCACATGGTGACATCCTTTTCCGTATTGACAGTATTAAACAGTGGCTCCTTAGTATCCTCTGTAAACCATTAGCTTACTTTTGTGTTTATGGTCTATGGATTGCTTAGCCTCTCAAGAAGGAGCAACAGATGAGAAACATTCAGAGAAAACGACGACACCAATATTGTGTCAGATCCACAGTGAGAGAGGGGCGACTCCACATGCTACTCATAAGGTCATGCATTTTGTTTTAAAACAATCCTCTTCTGATGGCAATCGGTCCCAACATGAGGGGGTCAGAGCTGGTTGGAGCAAAGCGCTGGCATGGACTCATTTGGCTGGTGGCAGCCTTTCAGGAATAACCACCAGGGAAGGGTGTTCCGCTCTCTGAGGAGCGTGGTGGGTGGAAATCTCTGCCAAACCCATCTCCACCCTATGCCTGGTCATGAGCGAGGCAGCCCAGCGTCCAGCAGTCTTTTGAAAGGATTGCTCTTTCCCCGTCTTCCTCTGACCTTCTTGATCTCAGAAAAGTCTTGCCCTCTAGGTTGGAGGGTGAGGAATGGTATCAGGAAAGAGGAGTTATTTGGAAACTTGTCCATGTGATTCTGGGAAAAGGGAGCAGAATGGGAAAGGGGAGTGATGGCGACTTGTAGACTCTGCTTGGACTCCCCTGGGCATAGACACCCTGTGCCTGAGGCAGACTTCAGTGGCTCACCAGGCCCCTCCTCCTTGGGACTGGCTCTCATTCTCCCAGCTTCTGAGGTCTCCCAAACTGACCTCTGGAAGTCTTCTCACCAGGGCGCAGCCCCACCCAGTTCTGTCTCTGTGTGTCATGGGTGGCCATTCCTCTCCAAGGACGTGTTCCCACCCCCATTCCCACCATCTTTGACCTCCCAAGGAGGTTTCAGTGCCATGCCATCCTCATTCCCCAACTTCAGGAATACAGATTCAACTACCGCAGCATGATTTAGCAGACACTTTATTTAAGGAAAGTAATTCCTTCTCACATATGCAAATATGCCTCTATATGTAAATTAAGCTCTCACATATGCAAATATGTTTCTATATGTAAAATAGTCTCTCATTATATGATGCATTCCCACCAAGGAACTTGAAACGCCTGGAATCCCTTTTATCCCCAGGATGCCTCATCCAAGTGGGTAGGCAGGGGTGTTTTCTCTGTACAACAGATTTGAAAGCTCAGGTTCAGAGCTGCTCAGTGGCTTGCCCAGGTTCAGCTTGTTGTCCACCATTTCCAGTTACACGGCCAGAAAACAGAGCATGCTGCAAATCCAAGTGATATAACTTCTTGGCCTCCCCCTTCCTGTGCCAGGAAAGAACAAAGAATCCAGGTGGTGGAATGGGACATTGTGCATTTAAATGGTGAAAGTACCCAGGAGTCGGCAAGTGGCCAACAAAGTACAATACATCTTCCCTTGTCTCCCTCTACTCTTCTTTTTGTAAGACTGGCTACTTGAATTACGTGTCAGATATTTAAATTATTACCTAATGTATGCTTGGAATGGAGAAGTTTTAAAATTATTCAAGTGTCCGTGTGCTATCAAAGACCATCAGGAAAGAGAGGCAAAGTTTGCAACATGCTGGTGCCTTCAGAAAGATTAGTGTAAAACAGATTATTTCGGTGTCCTGTGCTACCTTCCGATTTAACAGCAATAGATCATGTACCTTTAACACAAAATTGTTTTTTCTAACTATTGCACAATAATTTTTTATTATA